GGACCATCTGAAACACAAGAAGATTTGGGTTACTGAATTGGACAGTGTGGATTTAAAAGACTAACTATAGCACGCTGCACATAGGTACCTTTGGAGTAACCGAGTGAGTTTCAGCTTACTAGTCAGATACATTAGGAGTTCACTTCAAATGTAAAAAGTTTGTTCACAAACTGTTTGAATAAAGTTGAGGCATGGCTACTAAATTTTAAAAAAAAAATATTTAAATAAAATTTTTTTTAAATAAAAACTATAAATATATATTATTTAAAAATTATTTTAATCTTTTTAATTTTTATAAAAAATTTTAAGTTACTTATGAAATAAAATTTTGTAATTTTTTAAAAAAAATTTAATTTTTAAAATTTTTTTCTTTTTTTGTTATTTTACTTAGTATAAGCTTAAGATTAAACTCTCTACTACCTTAATAAAAAGTTGTAAAATACAAAAAAATAAACAACTTTTGTTATTATACTTTTTATAATTTTATAAATAAAATTTTGACTTTAATTAGAAGTAAAGATAAATTTTCTTATTGAAAACATATAAATTTTAGAAAATTATCATTTAATGCCAAAGCATAGAGTTTACAGATCTTTATTTGAATAATATTTGAATAACTTAGAGTTAGCAAATTTCTAGTCGAATATTTACTGAATAACTAATATTCACTAAATATTCAAATAGTCTAATAATTAATATATGATTTATTCAACAATAAATTTAAAATTATATAAATGTAAACATTGTATACTAGAATAAAATATATTTAAATCAACTTGTCTCAAATAGTTAAGTTGAAATAAATTTTAAATTTACTCAAATTGTTCAAGAATTTTGAACTAATATGTATAGATGCAGAAACTTGAGAAAGTATAGTTATGTCAAAAAGATAAGTGGTTATATCAAAAGTGTCATAACAATGTATGCCGTAATAGCTGATATTTGGTGCAACTAAATTTTTAGTCATAACTTTGATAATAGACATGATGCAGAATATGACATATATAACTTAAGCATGATATATATAATTTAACTTTGATAACGTAATTTAACTCTCCTAATAAATAAAAAATAAATTGTACAAAAAAATTCAAAATAGATTTTTTTTTCTTAAAAAAAAAAAAGTCAACAAATTGAAGTATTTCAATACTGAATTATGACAATGATGATATAATAGATAAGATAAGGAAGAAATAAGTAGAAGTACTAATAATGAAGTATGTAAAGAAAATTCAAATTCATAATATTCAAACTAATATATTTAAAAGATATGAAATCTTCAGAATCCTAGTTTTCAAGATAGAGTAACCATACAATTTGAATCTTCAACTAATATTGCAGATACTATTATTAAAGATGATGTTAGTATAGATTTTTAATTTTAAAGTTCTGGTCGATACTGTTTAATTATTGAATTAGAAATTTAAGTCATAAAATTCAGCTATGCCCCAATAGATCATCTCATTAAGTTGCTACCTTAATCATTGTTTTTAAACTATATTGAACTTATTTATGTTAAAGAATCTTAAAAGAATTTAAAAAATATAATATAAATATATCAAATAAATAAAACCAATTTATGATAAATTCTGTATTAGGTATTTGTTATAGAAAGTATATAGAGTATCGCTCCTAAGAATGTAATGGTTACAGTTAGTTCTAATAGTTTTAATTATTAATAAAGATAATATTCAACTACTCTCCTAATATAAACTTGGTATAAGTCTCTTTCTCTAGCTGTAATACCTGTACAATCACTTGAACAATCACTTGATTGTTATCCAGTTCACGATTTTTATATAAATTTGATAAAGCGTAAAAAATTTATTTAAAATGATTCTTATCCTTATACAATATATGCTAAAATCTTTTAACTAGCTTCATTATTATATTCATTCTAATAATAATCAGTTTTCTTCTTTATTAAAAATATTAAACAGTTTTATATTTCTTTTTAGAAATAGTATAGATGCTAATAACTCAGGTTTTAAGCAAGTATGACAAGCAAATAAATAGAAACTAGTATCAGAAAATAGCTTTTCACTTAGTACAGATATAGCAGAAATTGCTAAATACTTCATTGCCAATTTAGACAAAACTGGCAAAATATTAACATAACCTTTTTATTATTCTAGTACATTATAATTTAGAGATACTTTTAGTAAAGCTAAGTATTGAGCAACTTCATCAGAAATACTACTTTTATCATCTGAATCTTTATATATTTCAAGTAAAGAATAATTAATTTGATTAGTACTAGTACTTGAAGGTTCATTTGTAACTAATGATCCAGATGAGCTAACATATAAATCATTATTTGATTCTTCAATAATAGCAGCTTGCTCAATTCGATACAATTTATTTAGTTTATTAATTGCTATATTACATTGAGCTTTTGTTACAAATTTAAGCTTTTTGTATCAAGAATCTAACAATACTGAAAGTAAAGTAGTCTCTTTTGAACAATTCCAATATTGACATATACTTAAGTAGATAGTAGCTTTAGGTCTGGCGATCTTAGTATAGTAGTTAGATTGCCGGACCACCATGCAAGAGGTCTAGGGTTCAAATCCCACTATATACAGAATTGAATAATTACCTAGACATCTGTATCTAACTTAT